ATGACCCGGCGAAATGAGAGATTTATGTAAAGATTTACGCGCTACACAAAAATGAACTTCTGTAAATTTATGTGCATTACAATCACACACTAACACTCTCACACATTTTGCCTGGCTGTGTGTCTGTGTGTGTGTGTGTGTGGCTCTGAGCTCCATCGTCAGGCTGGTCAAATGACTCCACTAAGTAACTAACGCTATTAGCCGCTTACACTGGAGCATCGGCCCTCGTTCTGGTCGGGCATTTTTATTGCTGCATTCCTCAAAGCGGCATCAAAGTATCTGCGGCAAATCTCTGCTTAAGTCGGCTTTGGAGTTTCAGCTGTATGCAGAGAGGGGTTTTCTTAATGTGCCACACATACAGAGCAACAACTGTAGATACACATATACGAGTATATGTATGTAGACATCACCTTTGTGCCGTTGTTTGTGTTGCTGGCACTATTAATTTCTGACAATATTTGCTCTGCTTGGAATTAAAACTGTATCTATTGCCGCTTATCCACACAACAGCAACGAGTCGACTTACTACATTCCTAGCTAATTGTCTCTAAATGCTCGTCAACCTTGGCTGAAATTCTCTGAGGGCCACACAGCTACCAAAAGCCACAATAAAAACCGTATTTGTAGCAACAAATGTCTAGAGCAAACGTGATTTAATAAATTTCTCCATTTCAAAGTTTTGCACATTTTCAGTCTGTTTCTGCAGAACAATTGAAACATTCCACATTTCCAATTAAATGTTTAAGTTGTAAATCCAATTGATGTAGCTATAAGTCGAGCCTATGGTTTTAGAGTAACGGCAATGCAATTCGCAAATGCAAAAAATGTAGCATACTTTTGAGCGCAAACCTAAAGTAAATGCACTTTCATTTCAAATCGTTTACTTCTTTCTTGTGCTTACATGCTTACTATCAAATTTCTACTTATTCTATAGCTTAAGCAAATATTTCTACAGTAACCCAGTATAAATGCCTCTGCTTAGACTCTTCAATAGAACCTTTTGCTCTCAGTATATTCGTCAATTTTTTTAAGCATTATATTTGTGATGTACAGGTTCTACACTTAATAGAATAAAAAATAATATATAAAAACAGATAATGATAACATATAATATTATAAACTCCCAATTAAATTAAATTATGTGTAGTACAATTAAAACTTTTCATGCTTTGCATTTAGATAATGAACAAACTATGGAAACTGAACTTCTATAGAAATCAAACGATATTACAACTGCTGATCATATACTAACATTTGCACGTTTCAATTGCTGTCAAACTTCAACCAATTTCCCTGAACTGGAGATCAATATAACACTAAACATTGAATATGTATAAATCGTGTAGAAAAATTGATTTCATGTGCCAAGGCCCTGCCATTCGCATATCTAATAAGTGTAGCATAGTAAAGTATAAATAACTTGACATTAATGCTCGCATTCCTTTGATATGAATGCTAATGATTATATTTCAAATATACATTTATGACTCTACGCAAAATGTAAAGCATTATTTCGATTATCAGCCAGAACCAAATGCAAATGGGTTTTAGCGTCTAGACTCTTTTGTGGAGCATAGCTCTGATATACACCTATGTATATAAATTAACACATTTCAAGCATATTGCCAGCTCTAAATGAACTTTGAACGAGTATTACGCCATCGGCTACGACCGCTCATAATCAACGGCCGTAGTCAGCCAGCAGCTGTGCTTGTTTCCATAAAAAATTACCAATAATTTATGAATATTTGATATGCAATTTGTCAGACTAAGCGCGAGGAGACGCAGATCCTGACACCTGCGAATGCTTTCAGCCAAATTTCCTTGAAGCACATGCATATTCAATGAGATCAGTTTTTGCCATTGGCTTTAATAGAAATCCATACATTATAAACAGCTGACTGAAACTCAGACACATCATAAGCAGCATCTGAGACCTGCCCCAAACTGAAACGCGCCAACAAAAAACAAAAACAAAATGCTGGGAAAATTGATTTTCCTTCCTTTATATAATTAACGTTTGGTTTTTTTTTTTTTTTTTTTTTTTTTTTTTTTTTTTTTGCTCTTTTGTTTTGCATGCTTTTTGATTTTATTAACCATTTCTTGTTTTGTGTTATCGGCGCGCACATTTATTAATTAAAGGAGGTCACAACTTGGTGGGCGATTGTACTTGCCAGCCCCAAATTAGTACAGTATTTAGCGCGCGCACACACGGAGGCAGACACAGCTCGGCCACTAAAGGCAAATAAGCGGCCAATAAAAATATTATTAATATGCCAACGTCACACACACACACACACACACACACACACGAAGGCAATTCTCGACTTTTTGGCATCCGCCTTGCTGATGTCCGCAACGGTGTCGTGTCAAAGCCGAACACACATGGACAAAGAAAAAAAAATTAGCAGCAAACAACAATCACACACACACACACACACACACGCAGCGAACATATCAGTTGGGTGTGTTTTGGCCATAAATTTATTAACTTAGTGTCACATTTATAGCCACATTTTCTAACCAAACGCCAGCAGCAAAATTCGTGGGATCCACCCACACATCCCTAGTCCCACATGAGCAATAATAGCAACAGTTTTCACCATATAACCACGCCCCCAACACCCCCCCTCCCCTCCCTCCACCCACCTCCTAGATCCACGCTGGCAACAAATTGCTTTAAAATGCACTCGATAATGTCTAATTGATTGACCGACTGACCGTGAAAATTCTCGCATTGCCTGGCAATTTATCAAACGGAATTTGAGCACAAATATCGCTCGAATTGCCAGCTTGACTGATAAGACAGTTAAATTTGCCATCAAATTAATGAGAATCCATCTACATAGAGTTCCATCAAAAACTATTAAAATCAACTTAAAGCATTAACTTTTTTGTTGGATTGAATATATATTGAAAAATCTTATTTGTTTCCAATTTAAATTTGTAGTAAACGGAAAGGCCCTACAAAAGGTTGAAGTTTACTTAAAGCTAGTTTGAATAGATTCTCGCATGTTTGGTATTTATAAATTAGAAAAATGCCTTAGAGGATGCGTGTAGTTGACCTAAAGTTAAGGTTTTTAAAATGGAAATTAATAAATGCTTTCTTTCTGCTATCTTACTAATAGGAATAGATAATTAACCAATTTATAAAAAATAAAAAGCCAAAATTTGGGAAGCATTTTAGTTTCAGGAATTTCTAATAAAAGATAAAACAAAATATCTATATAATATGAAATTATTTATTTTAAAAATAATATTAAATGGTATACTTAAAGCTAATATAAAAATTTAATTTGAATCTATTACATTTATAATCAAATAAAATAAAACATCTCCACAAAAACGAAGAAGACAAATATGTTAATAAAATACAATGTTAAATACCAAAAAAAAAAACTCAAATAAAATCCAATTCAATTTTCAAGTTGCATTTAAACTCTTTTTTGAGTGAGATTAACTTTAGTTCAGAAACTTCTTTTTTAAGACCCGCTCTATAATTATATGTATATATATTATATTCCGAACCTATCAATTATTTTGAATGGGGGATTAATGTGATATTTGGTATTCAGATTGTGGAGCACCTGTTGTCCACTGTTCTCTTATCGTGGCACACGTTGCCCCATTGGCATGGGCTACTGCTGGACAGGTTTTTGTTATTATTATATATTTATTTATTCTTCTTTTCATTTAGTTTTTCTCTTTCTTTTTTTTTTTTTTTTTTTTTTTATGTGTATTATTAGTGTTTATGATGCTTATCGAGGCAGCAGATGCGCAATTGGAATCAATTTCCCAGCTTGTGATTAATGCGTCAATATGCGACGGTTGATAAGGAACGTGCAACATACAACAACACAGAGTACAGAGACTTACATTTGACACACCGGAGCCGCACACAATTTACACAACGGTTAACAACAATTTTCAAACTAGGCGCGCCAAAAGCGTTGCATGCTGCACGGCGCAACAGCAACGGATGACAACAACAAGAACAACAACAGGAGCAACAGCAACAGTAACAGTAACTGCCAAATAGCACTAGAAAAAAATAAATGTTTTGTATGAAGCACAGTCTGAAAGGCTGTTCCGTTCGCTTCCAAAATGCTGGGCACGAACTAACGGCAACGCAGTCCCGCGACCAACTGAGGCGTCCGCAGCGACAGCAGCAGCATTTAAGAAGCAGCTGAAACAGTTGTTGCCTCTACCAAATGCGTGTGGGTAGCGACGGGCGGTGGCAGAGTGGGACAGCGGAACGGTGGGAGAGTGGGAGCGTGGGACGGTGGAACGATGGTATCGGGCGGCCAAGCTAAAGGAGCAGCAGCGACGGCGTCAGCTGCTTTTCCGGCAGCGCCGTTTTGTAACGGCCAAAACACGGCTGTTTCATTCAATGTCAGCAGAAAAAAAAAACACCAAAAGCTCTGCAGTTGTAAAAGCTTAAAGCTTTGGCTATCCTGTCTATTGCAGCTGGCAATGCTGTGCGCTAGGGTGCAACTCGGAGAGAGTTTGAGAGAGATTAATAGTGAGAGAGAGAGAGAGAGAGAGAGAGAAAGCTCGAGTGGGAGATTGAACGAGAAAGTGAGTGACAGTCGCTCTGTTTACGTAAATATGTGGATGGCAGAGAGCGCGCTAATAAGGAACTGGTTAAAGAACCGGAACCAGTAATTCAACGATTTTGAAGTTGATTTAAATTGAAGTCAAATATTTGTAAATAAACGAGAATTAAAAAATGCTTTACATTTTCGAGCCATGCTCCTACAATTTTTATTTAATTTATTTTAACATAAAAAAGAATAATAAAATCATGTTCCGCATCATTAAAGCAATATTATTTTATTTTTGTTTTTATTATTATTTTTTATTTTTAAGACTTTTGTAAAATGTTGCATCAGGATAACCAAGCTCAAGAGCCTAGAATATAGTCCACAAACATAGGCGATCCACACTGCTCCGCAAAGGCATCTCATTTTCATTCATTAGGAAAAACAGTTATTGAGGACTAAATTATATAAGCTTTGTATTTAAAATCGATATACTTAGAATTTATTGTTATACACACATTGAGGATCCATTAATATCAGTACTGTCATACAAACCCATTTGGCCATACAATGCCCTCGATGAAATCCAAATAGGATGCAACACGCGTGTACAGGCCCGGCGTGGTTGTGGCACAGCCAAAGCCCGACGATATGACACCCATTACGCTGTATTTATTGTTCTCTTTGTCGCGCTCCAGCACCAAGGGGCCACCGGAGTCGCCCTGGCAGGCATCCTTCGTGCCCTTTATTAAGTCCGCCGCACACAGCAGCGAATCGATGATGCCCTTCTCCAGATATCGATGGCTGAGCGGCTGCGCGGCAAAGCTGTCGTTGCACTGGGCCAGCGGCACCACGGTGAGTGGGGCACGCAGCAATATTTTCGAAGTGCGACGAGCTGCACAAGTTTAAACTGTTGCATTAGTAATAGTAATCAGTGCGAACTAGCCCGCTCAAATGATAACGTACTGGTCGTATTCATTATGCCCCAGCCGGCTACATAGATACTCGCGTTCGATGGCGGATCGAATAGCTCCGTTTCCAGGCACGCCGGATATGTATAATTGGTCAGCCTGACCTCCTCGGCCAGCTCCAGTATGGCGATGTCATTGTACTTGCTGGTGCTAACATAATCCGGATGTATTCTGATGTTGTCCTGTTGTTGGCGGCGAGAGTCCAATATGAGTAAAATGCATGCTTAGCATGTGTAGGCGTGCCACGTACCGTTATGTTAATGTCCTGACGGTGTTCGCTCACGTGTTCAATATTCACCGTTCCAAGGCGCACGAAAACGGGTGTTTTATCCTGATCGTTGACGCAATGAGCTGCCGTCAGGACATGCCGCGTTGAGATCAGCGAGCCACCACAACCAAATATAATGTTACCAAACTGATTAAACGCTATTGCTGCCATATGCGGATAGTAGGCTGGGTCCACCTCAATGCCATCCAAGATGTGCTCGGTTAAGCCATACACCAGTTGACGTTGTTCAATCGCCCGACAAGCTGCCGAAGATATTAAGCAAACTTATACACTCGGTTCTCTGGGCTGTTCATTTGAACATGATGGAATGGATGGAATGACTGCAATGATCAACCTATTGAAACTGATAGAGAAAACGAATTTTCCCAAGACTCTCTACTTTGTTATTCTAAACATCCCTTCAGACATTTAAGTGGAGTCAAGTAGAACAGTCTTTTCACATGGGTCCTGGCTGCTTTACACCTCAGTTTGACTGCGTTTCACGGGTTACTAAAGTATCCCTTATTGATCTCATCCTATCAAAACTCGTTAAATAACATATAGGCAATACTCTAGAAGCCCCCTTTACTACACACCTTGTACTGCTGGTCGCGGTGCATCAGTTCGTGGTGAGGGAGCGGGTTGAAGAGGTGATTTCGTCGTGGTCCCTTGCCTGGAAAACAAAAGAACAAGAGAAAGGTTTACTTAGCTGACTGTTTCAGGTACTAGAGACTAGCGGCAATCCATGTTCAATTGCAAATGCTAAAATGCAGCTGCCACAAACCAATTCCATTCATTATTGCCATTGCTCTGGGGTACTTGGACTCCATTAAAAGGCACAGGATATTCTGGGAGAGGCTGCCAAGTTGGTTGTTGATCTGTTGCAGTATTTGAATGGCTTGGGTTTGGCCATGGCATGATCCTCCTTGGATATTCAATCGAAAACGGTTTGTTAATGATTCTTGGCTCTCTGCTGGGAGCAGGCCATTGGTGCGGATAGTGTATATGATTATGTGCAGCTGGAGTAGATGCGCTTTGTATTGGTCGCGGATCTCTTGTAGGAAATGGCAGACTCTCTGCACCCATGTGCGAGATCAAAAGATGAGATCCTCCTCCTGCTACATTTTCATTGATTGTACCGTCAGCCTTATTCCCGGGCAGTGTCTGTGGATTTTGCTTGCCACTCATCATTTGGTTAAAATCAAAATAGGGCGAATCGGGATCCAGTTTCGGTTTCCATATATTCGAATTGTCAGTGTTAGGCGTGGATCGTCCTGACGTGGTCAGTTCGCCACTGCTAGGCGGACCCACATTGTTCCAAGCGTGCTCTGCGTTGTCCGATTTTCGTGTTGGCAATTCATTCACTGAGCTGCTACTTGGGCTGCACGTAAATTAGATTAAACAAGGTTAGAGGCCCGGTTTCTTGAGTGGCTAAAATTATGGAACGAGCAACAACGTGGATCACATAGCTTCGGGGGAGGGACAATAACAAAAGCAACAAAAAACAAGTTCCCATCCATTATTTAAACACACCCTCTCTCTCTCTCTCTCTCTCTCTCTCTGCGTCTTTCTTACCTTTGATCATCTCCACAGCATTCGGCGACTGGACAACAGACGATCTCCTCCCGGGTGCTCAGGCCACAAGTGGGTATATCGCTGGGTGTCAATCTCTTCGTTTCAATGTACTTATTGATGCGTGGCACGCATTTGGAGGAGCCCAGGCAGACACCCGCCAGATTGCCCTTCAGCGTACATGGATCGCCCTCTGCAAACAGAGATCGGGTTCAATATGCGGCCTTTCACCAAAGAAAACAAAAACAATCTGAACACCTTCGAGTGCTTCCAGGTGTGGCAGAACGCACAGGATGAGGCCAGATAGCAGCAGACTGAAGCTGATGCTACTACTTCGACTTGCGCTCACTCTTCTGGGCGACACCAGCGCCATCTTCAACGGAACGCTCCTCAATCGATCCGCAAGGGAGCTGATCTGCAGTAAAGTTAGATATTGAGGTGATGAATCGAAAGCCTTTCTCTATACGGTAATTGTATATGTAATGTGAGTGTATATCAAGTATAGAATAAGAAAAGAAGAGCGAAAGGGCAAATGAGGGCAAGAGATTGGTGCAGCAAGATAGACATGAAGAGAACGATAGCCTTAACTAAGAGCATCAAGTCAAATACACATGTTTTCAATATAACAAAGATTAGATTAATACAAAAAAGACCCAATAAATTTGGATTATAATTTGAATTTTTTTGTAAGTAGGCTAATTACTCAAAATGTTTTGTTTATTTCACAGATAATATTGCGCAGCAATTCCCTTCTGATTCCAATGAGTTTTACTCAATGACGATTTGTCTTTGCCGTTGCGTGCCATCCGTGCATATTCATTATCAGCAAACTAATTAACCTCTCCACAATAATGCAGAATAATGTCAGTGCTATGGCGAGCCAGCAACTGAACAATATTTCAAAGATAAAGTCAATAGACGTAGGGAATTCTGATTCTTGCTAATCTAACTGACCTTTCTCCACATGCAGATTGAAATGCTTCTATATGCTCACGCATATTTGACAGAAATAGAACCATAAATCGGAACTTTCCATACCGTACCAGAATGCTTCAATATGGTTTATCTAACAGTCAATTGATAACGTAATTTCATGAAACAAAAACAGAGCTAACTAAAAGAAGAAGAATACAAAGCCAAAGATACGAATATGTGCTACATCTGTAGTACAAGTTTTAGCAAATTAACAAATTATCTTTCATATCATCGGCAATTTCAGTGCTTAGAGTTATCTCTAAACTTGGGCTCTTCAAAAGTTGGCATAGAAGAATCGAAACATAATTAAAGCCGCATGATATCAAATGAAAACCAAACATGTGATGAAATATCAAAGAAAATATTGAAATATATATTATATAATATTTTATATATATTTGGTGTTAGTTGTATTATATACAAGGCAATAAGTAAAATACCAACACTTGTGTGTCCCATATAAAATTAATTACTGAAGTGTTTTTCGTATTTACGAAATGATTATTAATGAATTAAAACACAAAATGTTATTTAAAGACAACAAATGCTTACTAAAGGCTTTTGATTCAAATGACTTAATTTAGATTTCAGTAAAGATATAATAAAAGATATATATATATATATAGATATATACAAATGTATGTTTATATTATATGTTCAAATATATAGTCCCAATCAATTTATATTTAAGCTGATCTATATACCAAATGGCTGTGCTTCAGTCACGACTAAAGCTCATTTAACGTGATCAAAATGAGATCTATAAATATATATTTTATTACTTTGACATGCGAATAAAAATTAAAAAGAATAAAACAAGTATATACATATATATATATATATATGTATTGAAATATATGAGTATATATACCAAATACATACATATTGATGCATTAATTTGAACAACTCTTCGCAACTCAAATGCTTTTAGATAGATACATATTTAGATAAAATATATTTATATAAATATATGCGCACACATATTGAAATAAAGTTGTAACTCTTAAAGTAAACAGCATATAATTTTAATTAGCTAATAATACTGTATTTAAGCTTAGGTATTATATTCTCTGTTTATATATATGTTTGACTATTCCCCAACAAAATTGATGCTATACGAATATCAATAATGTGTGCACTGTTGCCAAATAATACAACATTTTGTTGGGGTTTTCAAAAAAAGAACCGTTATAGTTGCTCATCACTATTGTGTGTGCGTGTGTGTATGTTGTGTTGTGTGCTGTGTTATTTGCCATTTGTCATGGAGCAAACATGTAATTATCATGAATCTCGATGCCGAACATGATGGCAACTCGCATCGCATTACAATGGTGGACTGCATTGGCCGTGCCTTCATTGATATATATTAATAATTGCTTTTATTTCAATTACACATGTTGTTGTTATTCTGGCTGCTGTTGATTATCAGACAAACCTTTGACACACGCAAGTTGAAAGCGTATGGTTTTGATAACAACAAATTGAGGCAACTGCAACAAATCACTCCGGTTGTTGACTTTACGTCAAATGTTGCTTATTTTCCTTTCTTTGCAATCAGTTCTTCCAACACTTTGCATAAGGCAACAAAAAAACAAAAAACAAAAAAAAAAGCACTCACAGACAGTCGAAGCTAAAATGAAATATAAACCGGTGGCAGGCGTGTTACAGAAACGATTTCAATGGCATTCGGCACACTCGATAAGTCGTGGAGCTGCCGACGACCTAACAGCAACGCGACGCTTTGCCAACTGAAGCCAAGATCAGAATCTGAAGTGAGCACAGCTGAGCGAGCGGTCGATGGTCGCCGAACCAAGAGCCGACAGAGCCGAGAGCCGAGAACAGAGAGCCGAAGAGCCAAGAGTCAAGATCTGCCAGCCGAGAACCCAGAATTGCTGAGCCGACATTTTCCAACCAAAAGCCGAGAGTCGCTCATGTTTCGCTTGTGTTTTGATCAGTTTGTTTGTTTTTTTTTTTTTTTTTTTTTTTTTTTTAATTTTAGCTCTAAACCTGTTTTAACAGAAGCAAAATACGCAACTCTGAGCACAGCAACAGATTTGTAAGTGAACAGCGAGCGGGTAACAACTCTATGCAATAGTTAAGAGTGCATTCAACTAGAAGATACCCATTTGGAATATAAATTACATTCAAGCATAAGTTGGTAGTCTCTGCATCTTCTTTACAGTGATACTACTTGTAACGCCTCTTTGGCATATTTAATGCATATATCTGACTTCTAGCTATATAAATACATATATAAATATATACATACAAAGTTAGAGAGCCCCTCTCCCCCCCAAAAAAAAAAAAAAAAAAAATAAATAAAATAAAAAAATAACGTCCCTGAAATATACAAAACTGAATGACAAATTTGATATTCCTAGCTTTTTTAGTCAATCTATGAGCTATGCTTAGAACAGAGAAATCTTGACTACAAAACTATAGCTATACAAAAAAAGATCTGACAATATATTTTTCGGGGAATCATTAAGATTTGCATAGTCGTTATTAGAGATTAAATAACATTATTATAAGCGACACACAAAAAATAAGATGTTGATAAGTCTGAGGATCTGGCTCTGGCTATATATAGACGTTGTGATTTTGATTGGCTATGCCAGCCAAGCAGAAAGACAGGCAAGTGAATTTCTAACATATCCCATGGCAAAGCTCGCTGGAAACACATTTCTTTTTGTAGGTCAGACACGAGCACACCCTTCTGTAATTCAAAATCAGTATACCCTCTATGCACACTTTCGATGGGCATTAAAACCGGCAGCATTAACAACAAAAACCACCGTGATTCAAGGGAAAAACACCGTCAGAATTGAGTTCAGAACTAGTGCGAAGTATAAATTTGAGTTTACTTTCGACCCAAGTACGTAACGCTCATAGCCTATGATAACACTAATCCGTTCTTATCAAAATTTAATTAAATACAAATAAATAATATAATAATAATAATAAATAAATTACAGAACAGGCTACATTTGCCTTTAGTTGACTTTACCGACTGCGTGATGTTCGCTCGCTGGCTGCTGAGATTTATATGAGTTGAATTACGTCTAACCGAGAGACTATTTTAAATTAATAATGCTACTGAGGCATAAGGTCGGAGCGCGAAAAGCAAATACAAACAATTTATAAAAAATACCAAAATAATTAGCAACTTTTAGATGGAATAGAAGCAGCATGAAATTTCAACTACACTGAGCAAAATTATTACCAAAATAAATTAAGAAAATATTTCTTTCTCTCTCACTTCCACTCACACTGCCTCTCTCTCTCTTTTATATCTCTCTATCTCCCTCTGTCCCTTCCTCTCTCGCGCGCTCTGTCTCTCTCTCTCTCTCTCTATCTCTCTTTTTCTTTCTATCTCTTTCCGACTATATGTCTGTCTGTCTCTTCCTATCTCCTTCTATCTTCATCCCTTTCTTTCTCTCTGCCTCACTCAGTCTACCATTTTCTCAATCTGTCTCTTTCTTTTTCTCCTGTTCGCTCTCTCACTCTCATTCGTTTTTAGCTCAAGCCTAGCTTTAGCTAAATATATTCATATTAAAAAATGCTTCACTTAGCTGGAAAACCAGTTTAAAAACCTATATTGTGTTTACATCTATATATTCTACGCGCTAGTTATAGAAAGATATATATCCAATATATATGTATATGAGCGTATTAATCTTATATTAATCACATTTGAAAAGGAGTTTGCAGCAAAGGCTGCAACTGTTGCACTGGAACGAGCGGGCTTGAGCCTCAATGAGGTCCTGAAGTCCTTATAGACGCTTCGCCTTCTGCTGCTGTTCGACAAACACAAAGAGCTGTGTGCTCAGTAGGCTCGTGTAGTACATGGCCTTCGCATCGCAATTGTGGCCGACAGTGGGCGTGGCAACGCCCAGGACACAACGCCTGCCGCTGGGGCGAAGCAAATGAAGCACACTGGCCACGGCAGTGGGACACGGAGCACACGAGCTAGAATTGCTGGCAATCAGAGCATTGGCATGAATGGGCTCCAGACAGAGATGCGATGCTGGCACGTCCTGGGCAACTATGGCATTCGCAATATCCTTGCACGCTTCCGTGGGCAGCAGACGCATGGGCAGCTCATAGAGCGGACAATCGCTGGCTGGAGAAGACATGGTCTGATTAACATTGGAGCTGGAGTCGAAACAGACCTAGGCGTAAGCTTACCATTGCCCTTGGCCCAAGCGGTGGCCAGCAGCTGTCCGCTGATCTGCAGGCGTGTCAGCTCGAACTGGGTGCACATGGGGGCCAGACTGATGTGTGGGGCACTCGACTGATCCACGGGCAATGGCTGCGTGAGGCGCAGCACAGCCAAATCATCGCGATAAACGGCAACGCGCTGCAAGAGAACGAGAGAGATGACTTAGAACAAACGAGTGAGAGAAAGATAGAAATAGAGAGAGAGAGAGAGAGAGATACACACATCTACAACAGCTATAAAGTCCTCCTCATCATCCACATCACGCATATCGGCCACACCAAAGACCGCATGACTGGGCCGCCCGCAGTCGGCGCCGCTCACCAAGAGCTGCGGCGTCAGCACCAGAGCCGTGCAGCTATGCACATAGCCATCGTGGGCGGCATTCGGATATGCCAGCGCCGCCAGATGCTTATAGTGGGGCAACAGCCGCGCCGCATTGGCAGCGGCGCTCTCATCATCGTACAATGCTCTCGTCTCGATCTGCGATGCTGTCGTCTCGGGCAGACAGATGCGCGTGGCGGTGCCCACCTGGCCGCGCGGCACCGCCGGCAGGTTGGCCGGACAGCAGATGATCTCCTCGAGGGTGCCGTCCCGGCACGTTTGGATATCGTCGTCGTGCAGTCGCTGCTGCAGCAGCAACGGTTTCAGGCTGCGGCAGCGCGAGGCCGTCTCGCAGCTGCCCTCGTACAGGGGCGTCTGGCAGGCGGCGCCCGACAAGGTGGAGGTATCTGGGAATATGATGCTGTCCCGGCTGGCTGGCGCCTGCTCGGCCACCGAACGTTCCACATACTCTCGACTGGTCTTGAAGAGGCTCAGCCAAGGTGGAGATTCCGTTGTTGGTGCTGCTGTGGTTGTAGTGCTTGTTGTAGTGGTTGTTGCTGTTGTTGTAGTTGTTGTTGTTGTAGTTGCTGCATCTTCAAGCGGACAACAAATCTTCTCGCCGGCTATAGTATAGCCACAATTAAGCACAGACTCAACCGACAATCGTCCACTTCTAATAAACGGCCCCAGCGTGGAGCACTGCTCCGCCGGCTGGCAACTGCTCCGATAGCCGCGAGTCGGACACGGATCACCAACTGCTAACGCAAAAGAGAGCATTAGATAGGTATTTAAATATATACAGAGAAGTTGAGAGAGAGAGAGAGAAAGAGAGAGAGAGAAAGAGAGAGAGAGAGAGAGCGAGCAATAGACTCCTCAAGTCTGCTAACGAACCCTGAAGGCTGTAATAGCTGCTGCATCCGCTCCTCAAACAGAGCCAAAACAGCGCTGATATCACACTGCTCACTCGTGCCATGTTCCGATCCGGTCCGATCCGATGACAACGAACTGGACAGGCGCGTCGCTCACGCTCAACTGCTGAACGCTGCTGACGTTCTCCCACTGGCCAAGCTCGGTGCTCAGCGTGACGCCAGCCGCAGCAGAGCCACCGGCAGCGCAGCCTGACGCCGCGCAACGTCTGCTGGGAAACTGAGGAAGTGTATGCCCAGCAGCCGATCTTCCAGCACTGTGTTTGATACAACTAACGAGGCATTCGAGCAACAATTTGCATAATCAAAGCGATAACACTATTCACTGCGAATGTCGTTGCATTCGCGAAGGCTATGCATTTCCTATCGCACTCTATATTCGAAATTAATACGTTTCTACGATTGAGTGAAACAAAAACTAACTTCTCTTACCAAAGTGAGTCTCAGAATTGATGCGTATGATCCTGATCTCTTTGCTATATGTCCAGATCGTTGTCTGACATACCGAGCTTCTAATTTACTTAGTATTTTATTTAAGTTTGGCAATAAATTTGTAATAGTTTAATAACTTGAACATCCGGTATTAGTTTATATTTGGGATTTTACAAGTTTGCTGACAAATTTAGGATGGAAAACCCCCAAAAAAAATGTATCTCTACTGCGTATTTCTTCACATAATTTCGAGCAACTGGAATTCCAAGATGCTCAACTTAATTTTACATAATTTTCAAGGTAATTAATTTTTATTAGGCAAATGTAGTAAACTTATGACCAATTTTAGTGCGCGTCATCTCACATGTAGCTATCGGGAGTCCAGTCTGGGGGCTGAGCGTGATCCGGATCTGGGGTGGTCTGGTCTGGTGCGTTCGGGCGAGCGGGCGCCGGATTTCGAGGAAAAGGAAACAGATTACCCATACCGCCGGATAATGGATCCAAATCGCCCCGTCCAACATCGGGCATATTATAGGGATTTACCTCGAAACTGTGCGGCATATATGCCACCGGCTGTCGACTGTCATCGGCAAGGGGATCTGTTGTCTGCACCGGCGTCTGGGTGGTCATTTGCGGTACGACCACGTCGCGGATATTTGCCGCAAATACCGGATCGCAGAGCTCACGGCGAAAGCGTTCAACAACGACGTTAGCGGTTGGCAGGGTCTTGGCAATGCCACCCTTCAAGTCGCCCACCAGAGTGTCGGGCGTGACGCACAGATTGGAAACGTTCTTGGTGTTCACGTCCAGCAAATTGACGATCAATGCATCCTCGGTTATGTGGGCTAGCAGCAAATAGAGGACCTTATTGTGCACATATCTCAACGAGTACTTGGTACTATCTCCGTTCCACTGATCCGGCAATAGTTCGCTGCCGGGCTCATCATCCGGCATACTTTTGTCATCGCCGATGCCAACGCAACGAAAATTACAATGTTTGGTCAGCAGAAAGTGGGCAAGGACCATCAGCACATCCGCCTTCTTGACAATTCGAGTCTCCACAGTTTTAAATAGTAAGTCCCAGCCGTAAAAGAAGTCCGAATTTTCCGCATCCACCGCCGCTGTCGAGGTTGGCGCATCCATTACAATTACGAATTTTGAATATTTGTTGAACAAAATTGTTTAAATAAACTAAAGTACAATCACAGAGCTAAAGCACATCAATGAAATGCTGCTGCTGTCAAAAACATCGTAAAAAAAAAAAAAAAAAAACACAAACTAACAAACGTAGAATTCGTAGAGTCCTTTTCATTTATATAAAATGTTAGCTTACATTGAGTTAACAACGACTTCCGATTTGATAACATACATATCATTAGACACAGACCTTGGTAACATCATTATAAACGTGGGCCATAAGAGATTTTTTAGTTGAGTAATCCCAAAAGTCCTAACAAAATCAGATAACCGTAGTGAACGGAACACACCTTTTAATTGCTATACTTTCCACGGGGAACTATTTGCCAACGGCAGCAATACGCAGACCATAATCACATTGTGGGTTTTCAGAGCCATTGGTTCACTTCCGTAGCGCACGGGATCCCGGAAGAAACTGAGCTCCTTAAGCTCACAAAGTATTCGCATACATACATATTCTTATATGTATTATATTATATTATTGCATGAATGCGTAATATTAAAAGCTCAAACAGAGAGATTTATTTATATACAGGCGCTTGATGTATGGAGTAAAGTATATACAGCTGAGTATCTACTCAGTCGGATACTTCCTAATAAAGACATAGAGAGCCTCAAACAGTTTCAATTAGCAGGAGCTCCCTGTTGATGGATCGTTGTATTATTGCCTATTACAGATTGTATCGGAATATATTTATTGATTTTAATACAGGGTATCCACAGCGATTCTTGACATGATCTGCGTAGGGGTCTTCCCCAAGCGGGAAAGAAATTTACCATATTGATAAACAATTCAATTGACGCATTATTCGCGCAATAAATGACGCCACGTGTCACGATCTGCATCACCTTATCAAGTAGCGCAGGGAAGCAGAGGGTCGGCATAACGGACGACCAATTCAATTAAATGGGGCTACATTGGACAAACCCAAACGTCAGACCCCAACAGCGTCTACAAGCATCTGTGCTTGTGTGCGTGTGTACGATAAGCCAAAGATATTTTTTGCTCTACGCAAACCAAAATCAGCAGAAGTAAATAAACACACACATCTACACACATACATATGTATGTACATATGTAATATACACATATATATAAAGCAAAAAAAAAAAAAAGCTTCTGGATGAGTGAGTCAAAGAGAAGGTATACACATATACAATATATATAGAGAAATATTTATCGAAAGAGTCGTGAGTGTAACTAAAGATAATTTCTGAAAATTGTCTTCATTTGGTTTCATGTGCTTTAATTTAAATTTAGCTCTATAATACTTGTCCCTCTGAGAGAAGAATGGGATGGGATATGGCATTAGCGTTAGTGTTAGCGCTGACGATGGCGATCGCGATCACAGTTCAGTTCCAAGTTGATGATGCTGTTTTATTTGCTCTCAATTTGCTCTCTAGTCTAGTAACCGTAGAAGACGGCTTCATATGAGAAGGTGCGCGTCTGATTGCATGCCAGCAGTATGGATGCCTCGCTGCTGCCAATGCCTCCGGCCGTGAAATAGGCACTCGCATCATCGGCCGTTGTGTCCACGTAGATCTCGATGCTGGTCAAGGTGGTGGCGCTGCCGGTTTTCGATGAATAGGACATGACCACCTCGACGTCCACGGCGGTGGTGAAGCTCTCGTCATCATAGTTGTTGACCAGCAGCTTGTCGCCTAATGGTAGTGATGAATGAATGGGTCACGATGGAGAAAGGAGGAGCCATATATAACGAACGGGGTAGGAGAGTCGAGTAGCGAGTCGAGAGTGACGAGTCGAGAGTGACGAGTGGAGATCGACGATTGAAAGGAGATGAGCGAGTGACGAGCGAGTAGGGGAGAAAGAGTAAAGAGACAAAAGTAATCCATTTAGCGAGCTTTCCACAGGTTTTCCATCAGCTTGAACTTACCTGATATACGCTCGCCTGAGCTGAATACCATGCTGCCCTTGGCATGCTTCACCTTATTGAGGGCGGTCAGCTTAACGTCCGGATTGAGCGTCGTATAGCGATTCTCATCCGTGACAGGCTTGATGGGCGTGTAGACGAGATCGGTGGCGCGCTGCGATTGTGGATCCGGCGGCGATTGTAGCTCCAGCTGCTGCGATGGCGCAGCGAGCGCGCAGGCGCTCAGCAAAAGTAACGAGACAATAATCACTTGCTGCATTTTGAAACAATGCAAAATATCAGCAAACAACGAACTCAACACAATATTATATCAAAAGCATATAGCAAAAAAAGGCAAGAGAGAAAGATAAAAAAAAAATGTGAGTTTGGATTGGATCTTTTTTTTTTTTTTTGCTTTTGTTTTGGTATTTGTTTTTGTTTTTGATTTTTTTATGAATTGCGGTTTGTGGTTTGTTGGCTCCGCGCTCTTTGCAATCTAATTGGCGACTGTTTTGAGCACTGGCTTTTTATACCACACGCTCTTATCGGCGGTCAGCATTAGATAAGGCAGCAACTCGACGACTGAACGATAAGCCGTATAGCTCCACATTATTGGCTTTATTTCTCCTATTTTTTTATTTCTCCTATTTTTTTGTTTTTTTTTTTTTTTTTTTTGTGTATTCTTTCAGTTTTAATTGGCAATTATTTGCTCAGTTTCTATAAATAGGCTAGCACTTGAGTGCTAGTAATTTTAGACATGCCCTAATACCAAATGGATTTAGCCAATCAAAATGTTTAGCCCCAAATCGACGGGCGGCGCGTGGCCCCAATTTCCCCAATATATTGACGAATGTTCCGTGTTCAGAAGTTCACCTGATCGCTGGAGCATGTGATAACAATAGAGCGTGAGGGACTCGTATGTATATTAGAATATTACTACAATATTTACCAAATCACTTGAGACTGGCTTTAACTTCCGTCTCCGTGTTGGGCACTTGAAACCATTTGATCAGGCAGCTGACGCTGTTTTCTCTTATCGAAAATCAACAGCAAATATTATGAACAGCTAACTATATAGTGCATGATATATTTATCGAAATGCGACAGCAAAAATAATTTCCAATTGTCATGCAGAGTCCAACGCTACCTACGATAAGTCTACAGCCGTACGTGCAAGCATTATATAGTCCACCGATGACAAAGATGATCGTAAATGAATCAGCAGTACTTAAGAAATTTGACAATCTACAAAATATTGCTGAAATTGTTAACTGCAGTAAGTGATCAGAGTTGTAAAAGAAATCAGAAAATATAATCAGTTCATCTATGTAAGAAACCTAAGCTATTTAAAATTTATTTAATATTTTGAAATCATTTCGTGCCTCTGTCTTCTATGACGTTCTATAGCTTAAGTTGTTATTTTAACTTGACTATATTAGAGTATCTCTTTTTTTTTTTTTGTATTCATCAAGCTCGCTGTGGACGTAGCCTTAAACGTATCTTATCATTCAATCAGGCAAGTTGAAGCTGAAAACAAAAAACTTGAAGCTCGTACAAATAATTTTCTAGCTGATCTGTTTGAAGATCAGCAAAACTGAAGAGTTTTAGTCCATTAACAATATCCGGCTGAGAGGGCGATAAATCAGTTTACAATCGATTGCCATATTCAAATATAAAATTTTATATGACTAAATATACAAATAGAAAAATGTATATACTATGCATATAAATGCCAATTTGTTCGAAATCTTTACAGCTTAACTGATAGCAGGTCGAAGAATACAAACCCCCTAAGTCCATCAAATACAAGCAGTAAATATTTTGACGACAGCCCGTTAGTAACACAAAAAATAATAAAGAAAACGAAGAACAAATATTTAACAATTTAATGCCGAAAAATACTCAATTATCTATTGATACCCGAAATTTTCTGAAGTGGTCTACATAGATGCTTATGTACATATATAATATTAAAATATAAATTCTATTTATAGTTCCATAATCAATATCATAAATTACAAATGTCTGTGCATTTAGTTTAGTTTAGATTGTTTCCTAGTGCTGGGAATTTTAATTATCGCTCTAGATGATTAAAAAAAAATATAAATAAAAATCAATACATGAGCACTAAGGCTGGCCCGTATTCGATTTAATTTTGCAATCGTAACCTTGATACACATAGCATTTGCGCACATAAGCAAACAATCTTATAAACACGGACACTTCGAGAAATGAGAGTTGGCCTAGCGATATTACTTATGGAGCTACCCTATACGCATAAAACGAGCTATAAATGATATCAAGCGAGCTAGTTAAGTGTGCTCAAATTGACTTCGTGCTTTCCATTTATGGCTGCGAAAAAAAGGCGCTATCAAAATTTAAGACCTTGTTTACAGATCAAATTTGACGGCAGCTACAGCTGCAGGGTATCTTGCGGTAGTGCATGCTTAACGCACTAGTTATCAGTGCGAAAAGTAAACAGTTAAGCATGAGAACGGAATATGAATACATATACATATATATAAGAAAATAGTAACTGATAAATTGATCCAAAATAACGGAAATTATTTTTGGATATATCTCTGTGGCCCTTGGTGTATGGGAATTAAGAAATACCGCAACTTTCTTGATAACATTAACCGAAACTCTAACACGTAATACTGCAGACGTCAAATTTGACGACTCGAACACTCGATGCATGATCGATAAAGATAAAATTTCTCTACATTTGCGCACAAGGCAGAGAAAGTTTCGGTTATGTCTGAGGGAATTATATGTCACAAGCCCCCTACGAGAACTCAATTTTAATTAAATGACAACAGAATTGCTCTAACTATATAGACCCCATATATTGATGAGGTATTTTTATGACTCAGTTATAAGTTTTTTCCTTGATCTTGGCACTACAAACATCAGAACTATTGCAAGTCGCGTGAACTACGATTCAAAGGAAAACGAAAAGAAACAATATAAAACGTCCATTTATGTTCGTCTAGATAATGTCGAAGCCATTCGCTCGAACCGTACGGCCGCCCTGGGCTTAACACTAATTTATGATTTCGCATACCTTCGTGAAGTGGGAAGCGCGTGAGCGCTTTCGATTTATTTGCCTGCCGACAGATATTTACGAAGGCTCCCAAAAGTGAAAAGAAAGCCCCCCTCTTGAATGCGCATGCGATTTATGGTTAGTAACTCATTAATAGGTTATAATATAATTATTCTTTAAAAAGCAAGAAAAAAAAAATAAAATAACATAGTAAACAGTAAGAAGTAAACTTAAAGTAGGGCTCAGGCACTCAGGAGTCGGTTCGCTTAATCGGAACCAAAGTACTGGGCCTGGTAAGCGAAGTCATCGGTCTGCTTGGCCTCCAGCACGATCGATATGAAGCGCTGGCCAATGCCGCCGGCGACCACATAGGCATTGCCCTCGTTGTTATCCTGGGTGCAGATCAGCTCCACAAAGGTGACTATCGAACCGGCGCCCGACTCCGGGTACGTGATCTGCAGGCTGACGTCCTTGCGTGCCTGATAGTGGAACACGTCGGCGCCCTGAGCGACCAGTCTGTCGCCTGAAAGTCGATATCGATGAAGTAGATTCGCTGCATACTTTCTGGAGCTGGCGCTTAATAGCAACAGCTCCAACTATCGCACTTACCATTGATCCGTGCGCCGAGCGTGTAGCGAACCGATAGGCTGCGTGTGGTGGCCCTGGCGGCTGGCTGCTTCACCATACGCTGCAGCTTGAGGCCCGGATGCTGGGCGACGAAATCGCGCACATTCTTGACCACAATAATATCACGATGCACATCGGCGTCGCGTGCCACGCCCGCCAGACTTTCGGCCACCAGGCAACCGAAGATGGCCAACAACAGAAACAGGCTCAATTTGCACATTTTGTTTTGGGGTTTGCAAAAGGGTTTGCGAGAGTTTTCTTTTATTCGGTTTATTAGTTCCAACTACTGCGAATGGTAATCGCTGAATGAGCTCTTTCATGGCAAACTGTTTAATATTTATAGTAGCGCCAATTAAGTGGAAGCCTTTGATTTCAGTTCCAATGAATTTCACGCCACAAGCCCCCAGTACCTAAAGTTTGCTGCTGCTGCTGCCGCGGCCCTTATCACACCAATTGACAATTTCCATTGACAATGTTTTGGCCAACAACAACAAGAACATCTAAATCGTTGATAGCCCCACGTTCTGTGAATGCCCTTCTAACACTACAATCTAGACTATTCCAGAGCTGATATCAAATATTTTGCTTCTATTTCAATTTTTAAACTATCGCAATAGCTTCGAAATTAAGCTGTAAATAAATGCCATGCTGAAACGGTTGTAGTATTTCAATGTCTATCAATTTTGATTGATATAAATTATATATGATGGATGATATTTTATATGTGAGCTTGGCTTGCATATATGTATATAAATAAATCTTTTTCGGATTGCCTATAGGGTAAATAATTCGGGATCACAGCCAATACCCGCGTAGAGATTATTGTATAAGCCCGGTAGTGCATATATTCGTAGGGTAAAGACAAAAAGGAAAATATAAATTATAAAAAATTTTAAATTGTTTTCAAAATATTTTTTTTTTTTTTTTTTTTTTTTGTATGTTATAAAATTTCATAGATTAATTTTAAACTAAATTAGTAAAGCATTTATGTAAATATTTTATATTATTTTTTTCAAGATTTTTCATATCTATATAATTATATAAATATCAAAGATATTTGAAGACATTCTTTTCTAACATTATTATATTATGTTTTTTGGGAATACAAGGATCTACAAAATGATATTCCTGAAGCGAACTTAAAGTTAAAATATTGAACAACGGAGCTATCAACTTTTTGGCTAAGTGTGATCTGTTCTCATAATACCAGGAGAGGGTAGAGATCAGCCATTCCTAAGATCTTTAAAGATAGGAATTATGTTTAAATACATATAGAAATCGTTATGGCAAAATACTTGATCATGCTTATAAGCACTGTAATATAGACATGTATGTAATATATGTATATAGCATATAACATAACATTGATCCCTTGAAAATATTCTTAACCAACTGCATGAACATTTGGTAAAACTCTTCCGGACATGTGTTTTCCATAACAATGGCTGCTTACATAATACGTGTTCCCGGCCCATCCCAGTCACTTCGAGTCAATTAAATTGAACAATTTGACGATATTACGTTCTGCTCTCGGCCGATAGCGACGTGGGGCAACATGCAGCATGTAGCAAGCGAAAGAGAAAACAATAATAATAATATGAACGCCAGCGCTTCCCCATTTCCAATTTGCGAGTGATAAGTAGCGTCGAATCATAAACAACATAAACAGCACCTGACAATTTGACAGACACTGGTACAGTAGCTTTCTAATTAGTGATAGGATGATGGCGTATATCACAGGCGCCCAATAGCATTCCAGCACCAGCTTCATATCTAATTAAAGACGGCTCTAAATTTCAACGCATTTCGCAGAAGCCTATCGAGGCGACAGCGGAACCCTTGAGGACTTCCCTGGAATTGAAAACCACCTAGTCGAATCAAATCGTCTGCCACAAATTCACAAACAAGATTAGTCAACGGCCATAGATAACAGCTATTGTTATGGATCAATCTGTCAATTCGTCAATTCCTGACTCATCGACTCTGTTAAATTTAGAATTGGGTAAACAAATTTTGATTGCGCTTACGGTACTTTCCAATGCGCTACCTCTTGATATTTGAGGAAAACTGTTGTATTATGTAGGCCTCTATAAGACTAAAACTCCAAAATAATATAAATAATGGAAAAGATTAACAGATGAGGATAGAGAGAGAAAAAGGAGAGAGAATGATGAGAGATACTAGAGAAAATGGGGAGGGATAAAAAGGAAGAGAGACTGACCGAGAGAGACAGACAGAGAGAGAAAGAGAAAGAAAGAAAGAATCATCGCGAGAGTGAGAGAGGGATAGAGAGACTAGAGATAAAAGAAGGGATAGTGAGACAGAGAGAATCAGAGAAAGTGATAGAGAGAGCGTAGATAAAAGAAAGGAGAGGGAATAGAAAGAATGAAGAGAGAAGAGAGCGAAAGGACTGGGAGAGTAGGACGAAAATGTAAAAACAGACACAGAGTGATCAGAGTGAGGGGCAGATAGGGAGATATACAGAGAGTCCAATATCAGTAGTCAACAGAGTTAGTATGCAATATTTAGAAAACGTTTTATTTTACTTTATTCTTCTTTTTTTTTTTTTTTTTTTATTACTATTTATTGTTCAGACTTATAACTCTAGTTACATTTGAATGTAAATATTAATGTATGTATATTTTGTATATATACCCTAGACAATATATATATTGTATATACGCATGTATATGAATGTATATGAATATATAATAAAAATTACATATTAAACACACAGCGACTGCGAGAAAAATGCGCGTGCTACAAATTGGGTGTTCGGTAGTTCCAATCTATAAACGTCGTATGTAACATACATTCGATGAAAAATAAACAAAATCAAAATAAAAATTTGATTTGTAAATTTAAAAAAAAAAAAAAAAAAAAAAAAAAAAACAAAACAAAACTGATAAAAAAGATGCTAATTATTAATTGGCAAAGTCGCATAAAGTTAGGTTCTATAGTAAAATTTGTGGAATGTGGCAGCAATAGAGATAGTTAATTAACCAAGGTATATAATAAATACATATATAGAGATATACATAGTTATGTGGAGTTATAATAGGCATACATATTCACTATAATATTACAAATAAGTTTGCTGATATTCATAAAAATTTCCTGGCAAGGCTATAATGCGAATATATACATATATTTCATATATATATATATGTATATATATTGCACATGATTCGCTCGCTTGCATTTCGGCAACGGCTCTGCTCGCACACATGCTAAAACCATTATGCACACAAAAATGTTGACGCTATCTCGCTCTAGCGCCGCTCTCACTCACTCGCATGCGTTGTGCTCAACAACAATGTACACGCACACACAAACACACACCGACATGCACACGCATTGTTTAATTTGGACAATCGGCTAATTACCTTAACTAATCGACCTCAACGAAAATTTTGTACTTAATACGAATTAATTTCTTAGTATACGAATGAGAAGCTATAGCAAATACACATTAGTTAAATTTTGTTCTACTAAAATACATATATAAATGGAGCTCAAAGTGTTCCAACTCCATTGTTAAATATCATGTTTCATCACAAAGAGATAATGTTTGACTCTACCGATTGATTACCATGCTCATCATATATATTCCTTGATGCCTTGTGTATGTGTGTGTATGTGTGTGCGTGCTAAAACCAACAACAATTCCATTTTGTTTCATTTTCACTAAATTCCTTGTGTCTAAAAACGGCGCCGAAACCCCCCTTTTTTAATTCCCTTTCCCCTCATTTAGACCCCTGCCTGCCCACTCGTTGGTCGTACCCCGTTGAAACCCTTGTTAGATATTGCTTTGACGCCTGGCTGCCTCAATCGTCCGATCACTCCTACCAGTGTGGACGTATCTCCTTGAAGAGCCACTTCTGGTAGCCATCGTTCACATCGCACTGACCCAGCGAGAGTTGCTGTGTCGTCGGATGCAGAGCCATGCACTTTTTGTGGACGCGATGGAGCAGATGCTTGGTCTGTTCGTTGTAGCTCCAGGGTCCGTCGACGGTGCCCAAGCGGCAGACGGCCAGCTTAATGCCCTGGCGATCGGCCTCCACGCAACGTTCGCCAACGCCCAGCTGTCCAGCGGCATTCAGGCGCACCAGCTGATTATTGCCACCGCCATGGCAATAGGAGAGGCCCATTATGGCCGGCGGCTGGTGGCCCATGGAGTCCAGGCAGCCATCAGAGGCCACCGAGCGCAGCTCGCCCCAATGCAAGTTGGCTGGCAGGGCCGGGAATTTGTCCACCACATCGTAGGCAATGTTGTCCATGAACCACTGGAAGGACTTGCAGTTGAGGCGCTTCTTCAGCGCCAGCTGCTCGGAAATGTCGCCCATGTCCAGGTAACGCGCCAGCGGCTCACGCGTGTAGAAGAACTCCTTGTGTGTGTCATCGAACCAGGTCTCAATGACGCGCTTGTAGTTGATGGTAATCAATGGACCCTTCTTCTTGCTCGCCAGCTTGCCAAAGTTGTAGGGCATAAAGCCGCGATAGACATGGCCGACGCGGGAGCAGGGCACCCATTCGATGCTGCCGCCACATTGCCAGATCTTGAAGCTCAGCTCAAAGTTCTCGCCGCCCCAGACAAGCAGGCCCGGATCGTAGGCGCCCAGTTCCAGGAAATACTCGCGATTAATCGCAAAGAGTCCGCCCGCATGCGTCGGACTGCGATACGGCTCAGAGTTGTGGGCACGACGACGCTGCTCGCGGCGCGGCACCTCGTTCTCCTTGTACAGCATGCCCCACTCGAAGATGCCGCGGAAATGATTGTCGCTGCCATAGACCGGACGGTACTCGAAGGTCTTGTGATCGATGCCATCAATGATGGGCACGGTCATCACGGTGCGATCACGATAGATGGGCGCCAGCAGCGGTGGCAGCCAATTGAGATTCACCTCACAATGCGCATCCAGAAAGACAATCACCTCACCTGCAAGCGAAATTCACATGTGAGCGAGAGGGAAATACAATTTAAAGGCATGATTTGTTTTCTCTACTTCCTTAAGTCGTATTTAAATGCATGAGAATTGCATAGAGGGGCTCTACTTAACAGGTAGCCATTGAATGTCAAATTAACTGCATTCATGTTTGTTTTAAGGAAACATTGATTGGAACATAATTCAAATGTGAGCGAGAGAGATATATAAAGCAATTATAACTAATGGAATGCTCGGCCATTAATCGGTTTCTTTACTCTCTTAAGTCATATTTAAATGCATGAGAATTGCATAGAGAGGCTATACTTAACAGGTAACTATTAACTGCTTAATTAACTACATTCATATTTGTTTTAAGGTAATATTATTCTCTTTATATTGCCCAAGCTCACCTGCAACAAAATGTGAGCGAAGAGAGTAATAAACAAGTAAGAAGGCTCCAGTCGAGACTGCTCGACTGGGAGATACCCTGAACCCTCCAAGCTGATATTCTAATCATTCTGCACTTCTTCTATGCACACATACATACACATGCACTTATAAGCACGCGCTCTGCTAACTGCGCAGTAAGCAGCGGCTACGCTTGGGCTGCGCTGCAATGTGGGCAATATTATGAGAATTTATTAGTTGAATAATTTCTCTTGTAGTAAGAGTATCTTTATGAAACTTTCAGAATGTGTTCATATAGTTAAAATGTGTGTACATTCCAAAGCACAAGTCTCTAGTACTTGAAATGCGTGTTTTACAAATTGGGGGCGAAGGGGGCGTGGTATCCAAAATCTGTAAATTACAAAATCTTTGTATCCATTAACTCTATATACAACGCAAATTTGAAGTCTCCTGGTTGAAAAGTGTTCAAATTAGGCTGAAAAAACAATGTCGATTTTTCGATTATTCTCGATAAAAAAGTTATCGGATGAGTTATCGAAAAAATAAAGCAAACTCGTACTGCCTATGATATACACGAGTATGCATGCCAAATTTCAGCTCTCTAGCTCTTATAACTTCTGAGATCCTTTTGCTCATACGGACGGACGGACGGACGGACAGACGGACAGGGCTATATCGACTCAGCTCGTCGTCCTGATCAAGAATATATATACTTTATGGGGTCTGCGATGATTCCTTCTGCCTGTTACATACTTTTCACAAAACCATTATACCCTGATTTCCCATTTTCAATGGGTTCAGGGTATAAAAACCAATTACAACTAATGGAATGCTTAGCCTATATTCGTTTTTTCTACGCTCTTAAGTCATATTAAAATTCATGAGAATTGCATAGAGGGACTATACTTAAAAACAAACTATTACATATAACATGAACTTCGTCTGTTTAGTTAAAAAAAAAAAAACATTCCTTCTCTCTCTATTAGTTGGCCTTAGGCAAGTCTACACTATAAATCGTATTCTAAAGCCAATAATTTAGAATTTACTAATTAAACAGGTTTTGAAATTAGCACAGCTCAGTCGCCTACAGAAAAAATTCGTTTAGCTACTAAGCTTACTGCTTGCTGAATACATATTAAATAAGATTAGACCCATCCAGCTGGATAGCACTCCTGTCACTCACCTGTAGCTTCCATGGCGCCACGAGAGCGTGTTCGTATGAGACCCTCGCGTTCCGTATTGCGTATGATCTTGACCAGGCCCTTGAACTGCAGGACATACTCGTCCAGTTTGCTGCGCAGATTCTCCTTGTCCGAGAAATCGTCCACCAGAATGATCTCGTGCAGCATGTGCTTGGGCGAGCGATCGATCACCGAGTGCACGGTGCGCATCAGGACGGAGAAGCCCTCGTTGTGGAACACAATGATGACACTGGTCGGCGGCAGGTCGTAGGGATAGTCCCAGTGTTTGCACTCCTCAAGGCGTGTATCACGCACCGAACGATGCATCGATATCTCATCCGAGCAGGCGATGTTCATGCCATATTCCATTTCGGAGGCATCGGCCACGTTCTTCTTGTCGGGCGACAGAATGTGACCTTCTCCGTTCTCGCCAGGTCCGGTGCGTGGCTTCAGATCTCGGGGCTCGAAATTGCCCAGGCCTGCAAAAGCAAACAGTTGGCAGTTAGCAGTTGGCCAATAAAACTGATCGACACTTGAGCACACAATGCAGCACAGATGTAAACAAAGTTAATACAGACAACAAAAATAATATTAACAATTCGCGCACACTAATCAAATGCAGACGTATTAGAATAATACGACGCTGCCCAGACCAGTTGTATTTGAATAATTGGCTAGAGCAAACAGCAAGGCTGCCAACATATGATATCATCGCTGGCCATTTGTGCCCCTTTCTTTGTCTACTCACCCTCCACTAGCGTGGGCACCTCCCGTGGCCGATTCTCGAGACGCTGATGACTGAACTTGGGTCCGCCGAAGCGCGTGTGATACGCCTCTTGGACGCGCTTGTGGTGATCGCTCCAGTTGGCCAGCAGATAGAGCAACGGCAAGATGACCAGCAGGCACAATGCCATGCGGCAGATGCGGCCGCTGCGTATATTACTCACGCGCATCTTGCCCCAATTGTGATTCACAATACAATTTCGATGGGTTCACTTTACTTTGAATTGTCAATGCCAATGCCAATGTCAATGCCAAAGCCAATTGCAAGTCAAATTCGAGTTTTGTGTTGACGTGTCGACGTATCTCTGTGTTGGCGTTGGCGTCAACGTCGACGTCGACGTAGTCGTCGCAATATCAGCAGCGGCTACGCGACAACAATGTAAACCCAAATCGTAAGAAAACGTCGAACAGCAATTAGCCCAGCAGCAGCTAGCGGCCGCTTAAGAATTTTTGATTTCAGATGCGATGTCAATGTACGAGTCTGCGAGTATGCTTCTATATGTGTGAGCCTGAAAGCAACTGAATGTTAGTGTGTTTGTGTGCGTGTGTGTGAGCAGGTGAGCACTCGCTGCGAAAGCGTTGATCAAAAGGCAATCAGCGTTAATGGTAAATGAACACAGCCACTGAACACTCTTAAATGCCAGCAGAAAGCAATTACTGTTCGATGTGAATTGGTTTTTAATACTGCTGCTGCTGCTTACAATATGCAACACGACCGCAACAAATGCAAATGCAATGCAGCAATAACTGCAGTGTAAACGTAAACAAAAAAATGGTTGCAGTATGCGGAACTGCCACGCGTTTGACGTTTTCTAGCACATCAGGTGGCACCTAGAGCACTTCAGCGCCAACTGGCGGAGGCGATACACAATAAATGCCGGCTGTTATCGTTAATCGGCACACAAAATATACTAACAACAAACAAAATACGGCACACAATGAATTCGTTACGAAGCTTACGTTCGCTTGCTGATTTTTGCGCTAACGTTGCTGATGCTTGCGCATCAAACTACGCAACGTTACGTTCACATAGGTTACGTGATTCTATGTTAAAAATTTGCTATTTAAAAAATACGCGCGAAATATTATTTTAATATTGCTTTGCCGAAGACGTTGCAATATTCGAGCAGTTATATATATTTACATCATTTAATACATAACAACAATTTTAAAAGATACAATTATACATATGTACAAATGTACAGATAGATCATATTACAATGACGGTTTCCTATGAATACACGTATTCCTATAATGAGAGTTCAAAAATTAAAAGTGGCGAATCGCCGATGAAACATGATGGCAACATGATGGCAGTCGAACCAATTCAATGATTCATCTTATTTGTATTAGTGATGGTCAAAACACTGCCAACTCGACGGCGATCATAGAACGGTTCCGGCTCATGCAGCGCCCCAATTGCCGTTACGGCAGCAAAGCCACCATCGCCGGCATGATCATTCATCGCGTGTCCAGCTCCTCGCAGATATTCTATGACCTCAGCGTCCACGTCGTCCTCATAATCTATTTGCATGGGTATCAGCTGATGATGCAGTCGACCGTTATTCACAGCCTGCGCCATTGACTCGCGACGTATGAGATATTTCATGATAACCTAAAAAATACCAAATTAATTATCGATATCCAAGTAATTGGCCAATCTACTGTGTTTATTAAGATAGCTGTCCTAAAACAGTTAGCTTGTTAAGCTGGCTGAAGTTGATCATATATGTATAAGGACATTCCTGTTATCCTCCTATATAAAATCACATTTGAATATCAATACGTACCGTTGCCACGCTAGTTGTGATTTTGGTGCCGCCAGCAGCGCCGACTAGCATGCGCACATCGCCATTTTCATCGACAATAATGGAAGGATTCATGGAGGACATGGGCCGTTTGTGTGGATAAATGTAGTTTGCAGGCGAGGAGGGCACACCAAAGCTGTTGATAACGCCTGGGGTTGAGAAGTCATCCATCTCATCGTTCAATATGATGCCCGTTTGTGGTGATGCCACTTTGGCGCCAAAGCTGCCAGATAACGAAAAAAAAATAGGAATCGTTAGTTTTTGAAAATTAATTTAATATGCCCGATTGCATTTCATACTCACTAGGTATTGATGGTACTAGTTATGGATATGGCGTCGCCATTGCTGGCCAGCACATTCATGTGGGCGGTGCCGTGATCAGGCTCCACGGTGAAATTGGCGCCATAGTACATATAATCCTGCGAGGTTTTGTCATCCTTTATCAAGGAGCGCACGGTATCGACCAGCTCGTGGCCAAGCAACTTCTCCAGCTGCGCCTTTATGCTATCACCATACTCCGGATCATTCTCGTAGTCACCCAAATTCGTGCGCTGCCCGTACGCATGCTTGAAGGTCTCAATGACGCGCTGCCAGTAAATGGGCTCATTATCCGAATACAGCTCGCTCATCACGTTCAATATAAAGGCCAAAACCGGACCGCTCGATGGCAATGGTGTTGTATATAATGTAAAGCCGCCCGTAACATTTGCCGATATGATCCCATCGCTCTCCCAACGGCACCTATGAACAAATAAAACAAAATAAGGCAATTAAACGTAGGCTCCACTAAATACAACACTAACTAAACTGTCATCCACTTTTAGGTAGATGTGACCATAAATCTGGCTTATCTCCCATCGTTTCATACAAAAAAACCCAAAGCATAAGGCGACTCTACAATCACGTTTACCATTGCATTGGCTAAGTCATCGCAGCAATAAACGATGTGATACACGTTAAATAAATTAAATTGACTTGGTAGCCACAGCTGAGGCCTAACGCAATTACGATATAGTGGTAAATGACAATGGATAGTTTTTTGGAACTTTTGTGACTAACTTCAAATACTGCACCATGAGAGAGCTCGGGAATTGTGAAAATATACTTCTATAGAATTAACAAGATACTGCCTATGTAAGCCCAACTAAGGCCTAACTTAAATCCCATGTATACCCATATAATTTAAGAACTATCTGGTTTCTCTATCGTCTTAAAACTAAACTTGAAATTCTTTGCTTTTAGGACACTTGTGAACTGTGATACCATAGAATTGATAAGATCCTGCCAAACGAAACCCAACTAAGGCCTAGCTTAAATTCCATGCTGTAACGTATAACTTATGAACTATCTGGATTCTCGACAGTCTTGAAATTCTTTGCTTTTAGTACACTTGTGAACTGTGATACTTGCTTGAAATTTTTAAGATCCTCTAAAGTAATGATACCGCCTAATTTTCTAATGTCCTCAACGAACTTGACGCCCGTCTCGCCGCCATCGTATAGCTCGCCGGCGCCATTGTTGGCGATGCGCTCCAGTGTATTGGCCAAAGCGGGACGCTTCATATAATCGTGCTCCACATACGGCTCGCCCTTCTCGTTGAGGAACATTTTTGCCAGTGCCGGATCGTTTTTGATTTGTGTGATCTTGGAGCTGATAGCCGCGGCCAGATAGCGCGACACCACATGACCCTCGCGCGCCATCTTAATGGACGGCTGGAATAGATCCTTCCACGGCAAGCGGCCATATTTCTGATGCATCTCCCAGTAGCCAAGTATTTCACCGGGAACACCGCCCGCCAGTGCGCCCGTTACCTCCTTCTGGCCAACAAACATCTCCTTGTGGGCTGCAGCTGGGGCCGATTCGCGAGCAATGACCGTTTCCACTTTACGCGTACGCCGCGTATAAATAGTGGCCACAAACCCACCGCCGATGCCCATTGAGTGCGGCAACATGATGCCCTCGCAGAGCAGCGTCGCAATTGCCGCATCCACCGCGGAGCCGCCCTCCTGCAACATGTTGCCACCGACCTCGGCGCAGCCGATGCCATTGGAGACAACGGCTCCCGTAATATACCGCGTATCCCTCGATCTCAGTCCGAAGACAAGGCCAAGCGTCAGACCAGTGACCATTAGAGCGACGATCGATAGCCATACAAGGCTCTTCTTATTCAACAGCAGCCTGAAAATGATGTACAGAATATGAATAGATCAATATATATATAAATAGCTATATATATATATGTGTGTGTGTATATAAAAATAATCGTGGGCAATTAATCGGGCGCCCAATTGAAGTGGATTTCCAAGTGGATTAGCCGGGATTTCATTGATTGCCCAAGTTCTGTGCGACGGCTTTGATTAGACTAACCACGTTTGATTCTTATCGTTGTTCTCTTTAGATTTCTTTATATTTTTATATATACATATATATGTGTGGTAACCCCTTTATATAGTGGCGCAGCAAATACAATCGGCCCAATAATTTTTATTTTATTTTATTTTTTTTGTTGTATTTTTGACCTTTGATTGATATATATGTATATTTATATATAAATACATATGTATGAGAATCGACAGTTACTTTTAAGCTCCAAGCATACTGAGTCCAATACACAGAGCATAAGTACTTGATAGAAGTGCTTGCTATCTATTCTCTACACTCAGAAGTGAACCTGAAATCCTTACAAAAAAAAAAAAAAAAAAAAAAAAAAACAGGACAATGTAAGTCTAAGGAAACATCTTTGGAAACGGCTGCATGTCACACGACAAATTAGCATATATCGTATTGGAACCATTATGGACCTATGGGATTTCTATCTGAGGCACTACCAGCTATTCCAACTATAACATACAGAGATTTCATCTACTCCACTCAAACAAAAAAGGTCACGAAGAGCTCAGAGTCCCTTGGGTTCGTCAGGATATTTCTAGTCCGTATGCATCGCATAGACAGAGACAAAAACCTCCTTCCCATTTTCGATTCGATATATTTTCCATTAATTTCACTGTTATTCCATTTCCGCTTTTTTTTTTTTTAAATCAGAAACTCCCGATATCGATGTTTATGTCTAGAGCTATAATCATTAGCTAATTATAGCCTAAATTGTCCAATCAAAATCAATTGTAGTCATTTATTCATACCTTAAGATATCTAAATTCTTCGCTTAGGTCTGTGGATATTGGACTATTACTATTATGAGCGCATTCCCGATCGAATAATTTAGATATCCCAAGGCCTGATAAATTGACCACACTTGATTTTGATTCAACAATTTAGGCTATATATTCGTATATATATCAGCTATCAATACCTCGCTCAATGTGGTAATCAGAGTTCTTCAAAATATAAGCTTTATCATTGCTGGATAAATCGAAAATTAAAGACGACTTTGATCCTCAATTGCAACTATTTATGGATATATGTATTATACACTTAATACTTTATGCACTGAAGAGTATAACTAGATTTGCTTATGTATTTCAAAAGAATTCCGATATGTCTCTCAAGTACCATGACATTTCATATTCTTCGGCTCTGTCTAGTCATTCGGTATGCCTCGCTTATCAGCTAACATATATTGTATGAGTATATTTCTGGCGACATATATGGCCTATCGTAAAGATACGTATTTCGGCTGTGAGGCTCGACAATGCCATTAACTAGCAATTTTCCATAATTAACGGCGATTTTTTATACACTATAATTATTTTAATGATTACGTTTCTGATAGCGCTCAAGGGTTCATTATTTGTTATTATATATGGAACTAGATGGATGCCTATTGAATATAATGAATAACGATACTGAATTTAGCTATCCTTGCTTTAAAATCTATAAATATCAAATTCTAAAATTATCTCAAATATATGTGTATATATATTCATAATGATCAGATTTATGCTGTTAATCCGTAAGATATATTTTAAGTTACGATATATATTATATTGTTGCTATATAAGTACAGAAATATCCATTCAATTGAATCAGAACTTATTCACAGGGTATCTATCAGTCGATGCCATTCGTGACTGTTCAATTTCGATTCTTTGTTTACCAATTTCTGATGACGTAGACTAAGGCGTAGATGTAGAGCACGCGACTAAATCCCAAGTGCTCGATGGTAAATCATAAGTCTATTAATTTCGAGCGTTTCAAGTGCCTCGAGGTACGTGGTTAAAATTCGAACTCCAACTAAAGATTTTTGCCCCGTCATTGGCAAAAGCTCTGATGAAATCTCTTTGCCGATTAGGATCGAGGGCTATATTTTATGCATATCATCGGGTACGTATTCCCAGTTATATTGAGCCATATCAATGATATTTGGCAGGTTTTACGATCATTCGGTAGTTCAACGGTAGCCGCCTTTATTGGTGGCCGGCGCTGCTATTTGATCAAAATTTATCAATCCTTAAATGTCGAAATATACATATACATATGTATATATGACATTCCTGTAGACTTATCTTTGTTCTCTCAAAGAGCAGATATATATAGCTATATAATAGCTAATTAGAGCTACTTATATGAGTTAAGGAATGCGACCCATTTTCGTAGTACCAAAAGAGAGCCTAAAAATACCATATATCAAAATGTGAATTAAATATATATGCATATGAATTTTTAAGTATATTCATTAATATAAATAATCCCCTAGCTTTTTATTCTAGTATTAAGAAAACAGACTTTAAATTTCAACAGTTTTTATTTTATTGCCAAAGTAAATATTTAACACGCAATTAGCTGATGTTTGTTTTATGCTACGAACACTGGGACTGGGATTGGTAGAGAGGTAGACGTCACGTATCTATGTAGAGCGCTACAAATGGGCCTCGGATGCATAGCGAAAATCGTCAATATTTATTTTAAGATCTAGATTAAAAGATTCGCAATAGTAAAATTGATTTAAATAAAAATCTAATTTATTATTTAAAATGCATTCTGAATCATAGGGCTTTTTGTAATAACTAGCGGAAATACCCGTTATAAAAATGGGAGGGAGCCCAACAACTAGTTACACTAGGTACTTTTTCTGTTGTTTATTTTGATAAATTAGCTGGTAAGGTTATTATAGGCTGTAGGGCACCCATAAGGTACCATATAAATGTATGTATATGCCCAACTCTAGAGTGTAGAGTACTCAGAGATTATGTAGCTCATTCAGAAATATATAAGCTCGTATATATAAACATATTATCTTAGAGAAGAGATTTTCGCAGTTATATATTATTTATAATGATACCGTACTATTAGATGATCTCTTCTAATTTCTGACCTAAACTTTATATCTATTTATAGCAGAGCCAGCTTGGCTTTGTGCTCTCCGTTGCGGCTCTCCGCCTCTATGTGTCTCTATTACTCTCTCTCTCTCTCAGTCTGTCTGCGTATAATTGAAAGTTTCAACCAAAGTATGAATTTTTATTATTCGTAATTTGTGATTTCAGCTGTAATTATTTTTTATTCATTTTTTCTTGGTTTTTCTATTCTCTAATTTATTCAAGCGTTTTGTTTTGAACAACAAAATTGCTTTGCCACCAGCTACGTGTATCAATGTCAGGGGTAAAAAATTGCATTTACAAAAAATCACAAAAAAATCTGAAATAACTCAGAGTACAGCACGTTCAATAAATAGTAATGAAATAGCATTGTCAATAAATATCCTGAATATTTAGATAATAATATAATAATAATCACAATAATAAGAAATCGATAGTGATCGATAAACACATTTGCATAATCAATTAATAGATCTACAGCCCAAGCAACTATACTCTCAAAGATTATTTGAGCTATTCGAGGAAAGTCGAGTTAAATAGAATCCGTAGATTATCTAAACGGCAGGAAGCAATAAAAATAATAAAGTAAAAGTATCGATATTTGGATAGAGATAAGAAACGATAATTAGCTTCTCCATTTAATGTATATTATAGTTCTAAGATTAATATTGTTCTTTATCTGCACCAAATAAAAGGTATCCGGCAGTCTAGTCTAATAAATTAGTCAATTACTTATTTCCCGAAGTGGAAGAGAATTGGAGTAAGAACAAATTTTCGATATATGTTAGCCTAAAAAAGCACTGTCGAATATATGCGAACCATTTATAAGCGTTTTAGCGGCAATTACTTTGTTACCGTTAGCCATTATAAAACGATAAAAGACTATTTTACACTTAATTGTAGGCCGTTATCTTCATCTTATCGGAGGCAGCACCTAACATATATCCATAAATATCTTTATTTAGCATTCGGTTAAGCGGCGCAATAATCCCATTTTGCAAATATTTCTAGCACATTGTAAATTGCGAAGGTTGCACTTTGACCACCTGTGAAATGCATATATATATATACACGAATATATCTGGTATATAATATATAGAGATGGTATCCCATAACATGGCCCATAAAACTGTCTAATTACAATTACGACACGGCGATAAGTTAAAGGCGCTCCGTTAAAAACTCTTAAATATACTTGCCTTGCTCCTCAGATAACACCTTTCTTTCTTATAGCTATACTATTTACCTATTATAATTCTCTCTCTCTCTCTCTCTCTCTCTCTCTCTCTTGCTCTAACTAGCTGCCGGCTCAAAAGGAATTCTGGAATCTTGCTCACATTTCAACAAATTTTTAGTTACATATTACTTCTAATTAGCAGATAATGCTGTATTTGACGTTATTAGACTATGCGCTACCCTGTACATGTTGAAGTCGCCGTTTATAAAACAATGTGCTTAGATATGTAAACTCCTAACTATATACATATATAGACGCATAGCTCACTTATTTATTGAAATGAACTCTTATATAAGCTACAGAGAAAGCTTTTTTTTTTAGCGAATAGCTCATATTTTATTAATATTGAATAATTATGGAATGGATTATCTGAAATCTCATAGTTAAAAAAAAAAAAAAAAAAAAACAAAAACAATCAAACAAAAACTTAACGCAACTTTCACAGTAAATCTCCCTCACATATGCATATACATATGTATGTACATATGATTATGAAATATATTTTGATGATTTGTCATTCTCACAATTACAGGGTATTAGCCAGCAAGAGAACTGTGATTGACTATGATACGAGCACATATGATACGTGTATCGTGCAAATACCATATATGATTGTCAAGTTCTGTTTGCGTTTCAATCATCTTTTGTTGTTGTTGGTTCTGATACACTTATGATGATACACTTGATGTAGTTTTTGTAGTGTGTGGATGTTAAAGTGCGAGACAGTCAATTGTGTTGACAAGACAAACAGAAAGGTAAAAGCAATTAAAACTTATACCTCTGGCAGAGGAAAGAGCTCTGAAGTGGAAACTGTCTCGTTATAGATCGAAAATCGATAACGATTGAACTTTGGTGCACTGAATTTTCCAGCCATGGCTAATAAAATAAAAATAATAAAAAGCTGCACTTAAAATACAGCAATTTCCCATATGCCAATTTTTATTTTTTTTTTTTCTCATTAACATTAAAGTCGAATCGACTAGTCGGCTGGAAATGGATTGATTCATCTACACATACAGATGTACGTCCATATGTATATGGACATATATACACAGCTGAGCAGTCTTTTGGATTGTATAGTAAAGTTCTATGAATTCTATTGATAGAGCCAATGATGATGACAATTAATGGAATCATATAGCACTTACCTCATTTTGTAGAATTATTTTAGCGCCTCACAAATTGCTAAAACACTGAGAACTAGAAGCAAAAAAAAAAAAAAAAAAAAAAGGCAAAAACATAACAAAGAATATAAACCAAAATTAATAAATAATTTATGCAATTCACAAGCAAATTATGCAAATGTAAAATGGTAAATAAAAAAAAAATCCGCACTAACAATGTCGCGATGGAGGAGCCGCTTTATAAATGCGCCGACTGCAAATATTCTCAGTTGCCGTTAGAGGGAGCGAGCTCACTGAGCACTTGTCGTGCTTAGCCTCGACTGATGTGCTTGAACGGAGTGAGGCGCCGCATTACAACTTTGTTTCGATTCCATTCGATTCGATATGTGTTTTATTTTGGTTTTATGTGCGCAAACACATGCATGCACTTCTATATTTTTTAAGTAACTAACTGTTCTTTATCGAAAGAGCCAACACAGTTTACACACAGCCAAACACCCACACACGCACACACTGCTCTTCGCAATAATATTTGCAGAGAGTCGCTCTTACGCTCACTAGTTTCAAATTGTCGCTGTGTGAGATTGCGGAAAAAATGAAAATGAAACTACCAAAAGCAATAACAGTAATACACATATAGGCACACACACGCTCGCGCACTCATGCCTCTATGCATGTATGCGTACATGCGTGTATGATCTGTACAATTTTGCAGCTATCTGCGCTTAGCGCAAAGCTAAGCCCGCTTGCCGACTCAGTATAGTTCTGCACTGGACACACGTATGTGCAAGCCTTCTCTCTGTCTCTCATCATCTGTATGTATGTGTGTGTGCGTGATGTAGTGTTGGCATGTGTGCGTGAGGGAGAGAGCAAAGCTAAAACTTAACCCAAGCTTGATAAACAGCTGTTGCATTGTTGTTTTCGATCGAAAACAGCTGGAGCTGCTGGGCCAGCCGTCAATAGCATAATACGCACAGAAATGGATAAACATAACGGTTTCACACTAAAATTTGCCTTTAATTTGTAGCAGATGCAGATGCAAAATATTGATTCCTATATGCAAGGCGAACTGTTCACTTTAACGCCAACTTTTTTTTTTTTTTGGGCACTCCAATTGCAAAGCGAATGTGTGTTCGTGTTCCTCCTCTTGTCCATTGTGTTATCTATTGTGTTCCAGTTTGTTTCGTTTTGTGTCATTTTGTGTTGTTGTGTTTGGTTTAATTCTGATCGTTGTTGTTGTTGTTGTTCTCGTTCTTCTTAATGTTGTTGCTGTTGTTGTTGCTATGATTGTTTTTTTGGGTTTGGTTGGATTCCCTCTTCAGGCCGTTTCAACGCCAACGTCCCATTGGACCAGCCACCTTGACAGTGTATTTGGTGGAGCGCCTCTTAGCCTTCATTTGCTGCTCCTGTTCGATCATCTTTAATGCAGCAGGGCCAAGGGCCACATACGGCATATTGGGATCGGGCACGGTGTGCAACGGCAAGCACTGCTTGCTCATCCGCTGAAAGTTCGGCAACGGCGCGTTCTTCTTCTCGTGAGCGAGATCCGTATAGCCCAGCTTGCGGCGCTGCTGTGGCGTTATCTTGTTGCAGTGGCAGAGCTGATGGATTCGCAATGCCCGTTCCAGATCGAAGATGCGATCACAGAACTTGCACTGTTTGCCAGGTGGAATGGCCGTCAGTGCTGTGGTGCTCTCCCTCAGGCGACGTCCCCGGAATCGCACCTTAAAGTCATCATCGTGGGTGCGACGATGCGCCCCAAGCAGCGACTTAATGTGAAAAATGGCGCCGCACGAGCTACAGCTATAGGTGGGCTTATGCATATGCTTGATGCTCATCTGGCTGCGTCGATGGGATTCGTTGCCCAACTGACGTTCGTATTCCTCCTGTAGAATACCGCGCATCGAGCGCGCCAATTTTAGCGCATCATTCTCCTCCTCTTCTTCGAGCTCATCGCGAGGGGAGAGACCATTGCGACGTGGCGTCTGTATGAAAGCTGAAGGCAAAACAAGCCAGAATTTATTAATATTCTTGTTCTTATTGGAATACGTTAAATCTCTAGCATGCTACCAAGGATTACTCACTTTGTACGGCTCCTGTTTTTTGGCGTGAGATGGTAGACGTGTCGTCTTTTAATTTGGATTGTGAAGATCTTTTGTTGCCTTGCTTGCCGCGCCTGTGCAGTCCGCCGCTGCTTCCGTCGCTGGACCGTTGGCCGCGTCTTCGGATTGCTAGCATGTTGACTGTCGATTCAGACAAATAGTTCAGTTTGCGCTCGACCGTCTTCTGAGCGTTCTCCATGTCGGATTCCAGCTGGTCGTAGGTCTGCATTTTCAAGTTACGCTGATATGACGCGATTCTATTTTGCTTCATATTGATTGTTGTTATATGTAAATCTCTATTGCTTTTATGTTGCTACTGTTGGTATAATCTTGTACGAACTTTGTGGCCGGCAAAGTTCTTGAAATAATAAAATTTCTTAAAAATTACTTATAATAATGTCACTTCCCCAAGTGTAAAATATAAACTGTGTGTATAGAAACGCGTGTAAAATATAAACTGAGACTACACACAATGAAACCAAATGCAGCGCATGTTGAAATCGGCTCAAATTTTTATTTCAAATATCGTAGTGCTCAACAATGCCGTATCAGCTGTACACACAATATTTCTGATAGATGGCGCCACATCTAGTATTTTCTAATTGGATATATTTATTTAACAAATGCAAATTTACTTAAAGCTGATTAGGTTTAAAATTATTAAGTAATTATTTTTTCATTTTTTTTATTTAATATATAAACCATTTTCAATCTAATTTTATTAAAACTAACAATTATTTCGATATGTTATCTGTTCACGTAACGTTGCTCTCTTTGCGCTTACGTTGCTCATTCGTGCGCTAACGCGCTACTTACGTGCCTGTTACTCACGGCTGGCCGCGTGCAATTTTTTTTGGCAGCTAGCAATAAAGTAATTGCAGCCCGCGCGAAGTTACCAAAAATCTTGCGATTACATACATTTTGCCACGAAATTGTGCAAACTGTTCGCAATTAAAGAAAATTTTGTGTGGTGCTTTATACTGTCGTTATTCGTTGGTGTTGTGGCATTTAGAATATGAGTGATACGCGTGAACAGATTTTGGAACAAATTAAAGTACAAGGCGATCTCGTGCGTCAGCTGAAAGCGACGAAGGAGTCCAAAGAGAAGGTCAGTACGACATACATAATGAATGCCATAATGTCTATGCAAATTATTTCCCCATATTTGTATGCATAGTAGCGTATGTAAGTGTGCATGCAGGCCAAACCATTCCCATAGTGCACATGTACACATACACATTGTTTTGCCGTCCATGCGTATGCGTGTAATTTTGTACATGACTGTCTCTACATGTGTGCGTGTTTGTGTGTGTGTATTCAGGCCGCTCGTCATGCGTTTTTAACCCTTTGCCGTTCATATGTACATACGTTCATCTGAATCCTGTTGCACTTCTATCGAACTACTGTAACTTTATTTATGTATTTCATCAGCCGCACACACATGCGTATTTACGCATGTATGTATGAGCGCAACATAACGTATTCGACTCGTCGACATCCGTTACCCCTCTCCGCTCATCGCTCTTACCATTCGAGCTGCGTTGGCAGCCTCTCATTATTGAATTTTAGCTCTGTAATTAGATTGCATGCACACATAACAGAGAGCTCAATCAGCAGTGGCAACAACAAAAGAGAACTTTCACATTTGAGTACTGTTTTTTGGCATTTGTAACAAGAGTTGTTGTTGTTGTGCAGTGCTGGCATTTCTTAATGGCAACAACAGAAGCTGTTTATGGGAAAAAAAAGCTTTAAAAAAAAATGCACATATTAGTAATTTTTATTCGATATTTTATTCATTCTCAATACATATATAAACGTGCGATTGATTGTAAAAAAAAAAAAAAAAAAAAAAAAAAAAAAAAACAAGATTCAATCGGTAAAAATTTTTGATTGGAGTCATTAACTACATAAAAGCAAAGTAAAAGTTAAAACAAAATTGTTATAAGAAATGAATCATTCAACGTTGAATTCACTTGAGCATATAATTCGATAATTATAATTTAAATATTTGAGTGAGTCATAGAGAAAGTTTAGCTTGTTTCAAAATAGCTAGAGTAACAACAATGCACTCTAGAGAAAAAGCCAAACGGACAGCACTGCTGCCGCTCACATTCCCACTGTAAATCAACGTTTGGCCTCTCAGTCAGTCGGCATCGCCAGCCTTGAAGCAAATCACCGCAAGCTTTTTTCTTACCATTACCTCTTCCTCTCCTTGTCGTCATCAGCTATTCCGTTGCGTTTGCCCCTTTTTTCTTATATTCGTTTTAAAATAATGAATGCTATTGTTGTTCTTGTTGTTGTTGTGTTTGTTGTTGTGATATTTTGTGCTCATGACCGACTGACTGCCATGCGAATCGCTGTTGCTGCTATTGCTGGGGCTGCTGTTGAAACCGGCTCAGCAACAAATGACGCAGCCTCCGTTAGTTGCCTATGTGCGCGTAAGCAGCATTAATGTCAACGTAATTGTTGCCATTGATTGCTATTTTATGCGTTCATTGCATTCAAGCATCAGCTGTTTTTTTGGCTTTTGTGAAGCGCTAAAAATATATCGATATATCGATATAGGGGGATTATAATATAAGCTCATCATCTGGTTTGGTTATTTGAATTACGACTACAAATCGTTAGGGAAAATATATTAAAACCAATTAATATGAATATTGGGATTTTTAAATTTGGTTATGAGAAACATAAATTCGATGAATATCTGATTGGGTCGAAATAAATCGCATGCAAAATGTCCTTGAACTCGCCTTTGTCGTGATCCAATTTCGAGTTTTCGAAATTTCGAACTTCAAGTGTACAAAAGTGTCAAGTGTGTATGAGAGCGAGACAGAAAGAGAAGTTAAAGAGAGCAAGAAGAATGCAAAAATTTGTATGCTCAATTGCAGAAAAAAAAAAAAAACAGGTCATGAACGGCGGTCAAGAGAACGCAATGATTTTGTATAGCTTTCAATTTATATAAATTTATAACAAGGATCTTTTGTTTACTTTTCTACACCCGCACAGACGTACACACACATACACATATATACTAACACACACGCATTCATTTTGTACATTTAACATTTTCACGTAGTTGCAACAAGTTTAAGAAAATAAAAAATATTTTAACAATGCGGACAACAAGTTCGATAAACGCTAATCGGTACTTTGTTTTTTTTTTTTTTTTTTAATTTTTTTTTATTACTCATTGTTGTTGTTGTTTATTAGGTTTTTTAAGCGCTAATGCAAATAATTTGCTGCTTCACTCGAAAGCAATTAGTAAAGACATACAAACAAAACGAAAGAAAGGCAGAAAGAAATATCAAAGAGTAAAAGTCAAAACGAAAATGTTGCGTTCGATTGGCCGCCAGTGGCGCTGTAGTGTTGCGTTTCAGTGCCCTTGCCTTTGTCCTGCCCGCCAGCAGCTGCCGCTGGCGCCATCTAGCGAGGGCCGTGCGATATCAACAAGCGTTGGACAACAATTGAAAGCACAACAACAACAACAATTACAAGAACAGCAACAACAACAACAACAAATGCATAAGGTTAGCATCTAAGTGCACTATACAAACTAGCAGAGAATTAAACCGAAAATCACATATCTATTCATTTTGCATTCCATTGCAGATCGATGAGGAGGTATCACGTCTGCTGGCCCTAAAGGCCAAACTGGGCGGCGATGCGACACCGGCCAACCAGAAGTTCACGCTAAAAACGCCAAAGGGCACGCGCGACTATGCGCCACAGCAGATGACGCTGCGCCAAGGTGTGCTGGACAAGATTGTGCAGGTGTTTAAGCGTCACGGCGGCGAGGCTATTGACACACCCGTCTTTGAGCTGAAGGTTTGCATTTGATTGATTGATTAATTTGTTCATGTTATTGATTAAACGATTTGCAACTTGCAGGAAGTATTAACAGGCAAATATGGCGAGGATTCAAAACTGATTTACGATCTGAAAGATCAAGGCGGCGAAATCTTATCAATGCGCTATGACCTGACCGTGCCGCTGGCACGCTATCTGGCCATGAACAAGATCTCCAGCATTAAGCGTTATCACATCGCCAAGGTCTATCGCCGTGATAATCCCGCCATGACCCGCGGTCGCTATCGCGAATTCTATCAATGTGATTTCGATATTGCCGGCACCTACGATCCGATGCTGGCGGATGCCGAGTGCGTCAAAATTGTTGCCGAAGTGCTGGATACTTTGGACATTGGTGATTATGTGATCAAGCTGAATCATCGCCAACTACTGGACGGCATGTTTGAAGCGTGCGGTGTGCCGGCGAACAACTTCCGTGCGATCTGCTCGGCTGTGGACAAGCTGGACAAGGTAAACAATCAAAAACAAAAAATATGAATGCAAATTCCAGAGACTCACAGATAAAATGTTGATTTCTCGATTTCAGTCACCGTGGGCGGATGTGCGTAAGGAAATGGTGGATGAGAAGGGTCTCGATGGCGCCACAGCCGACAAGATTGGCGAGTATGTGCGCCTGAGCGGCGGCGCCGAGCTCGTTGAGCAGCTGCTGGCGGATGAGAAGCTAAAGGCTGTGCCTAATGCCGTCAAAGGGCTCGAGGGTATGCAGCTCCTGCTGAAATACTGCTCACTTTTCGGACTGGAGGAACGCATCAGCTTTGACTTGAGTTTGGCGCGCGGCCTCGACTACTACACGGGCGTCATCTACGAGGGCGTGCTGAAGGCAGAGCCCAGCGCTCCAGCCTCACCAGTTAAAGAGCTCCATAATGGGGATCAGGCGTTGGAGCAAAGCGGCACTGTTGGCTCGGTGGCAGGTGGCGGACGATATGACAATCTGGTTGGCATGTTCGATCCGCGCGGCAAGGCTGTGCCCTGTGTGGGCGTCTCCATTGGCGTGGAGCGCATCTTCTCAGTGCTCGAAGCCAAATTCGCGGCCAGCAAGGTGAAGTTGCGCACCAACGATGTGGAGGTGTATGTGGCCTCTGCCCACAAGGGTCTGCACGAGCAGCGTCTGCGTGTGCTCAACCAGCTGTGGAATGCGGGCATCAAGGTGAGCCAACGATTACAACATTGCCATATTCCAAGCAAACTAATATCGAATGTTAATCAATTCACAGGCGGAGCACTCTTACAAGCTAAATCCGAAGCTATTGGTCCAGTTGCAGCACTGCGAGGAGCATCAAATACCCTTGGCCATTGTCTTGGGCGACGCCGAGCTGGCCCAGGGCATTGTCAAGCTGCGCGAGGTGACGACGCGGCAGGAGTCCAATGTGAATCTAGCGGATCTGCCCAACGAGATTCGTCGCCGACTCCAAAAATAGATTAGAAACCATCCTCGCCTCTCTGGCCAACTCACGCAAAGTTTCGATACTACAATTACATCGCTATGAATTTTTTTTGCTTTATTTATCAATGCATAAACTGTGTTTTTTTTTTTTTTTTTTTTTTAAACATTGTTTTATATTTGCCCTCGTTTGCTGCGCCGTCGAACGGATCCATGTGCTACTATAT